CGCTAATTAGTTCCATTGACATGATAAAGTTGTAAACTCGGCCCCCAATTCGGTTCCCGATCCCTGCATATTCCCAAAAAAATTAAAGTTCATTGTTTTAAGACCCTGATTTTAAATTTTAAATTTCAAGCAATTTGGTTGATTACTTTTATCTGCCCTAAAATACAAAAAAAATTCGCATTTTATCAATTTGTAAGAAATAATAAATTTAATTTACTAAAAAACTTAAAAGTGTTCTGTATGCAAAATACATTTTTTTTAGCGAACCGCCAAAAAAAAATTAATCAATATATTGGCCAACAAAACGATTGGGCCAGACCTGTCCTAAATAATAATCAACAATTATTAAAAGTCTCAAAAAAAAAAAACAAAATTAATGCCATGTTTTCGAAATATGCCTATTGAAATGTTTTTTTTATAATTTCTGAGTATTCTTTATAAATCTCACTTTATTTAGTACAGTTTTAAAAGCCACTTAGACTATAATTATTATTTTTTTGCTTTTTTCTTTAATTAATTTTTAAATTCTATTTTCTATTCAAAAATTTTACTCTGTAATCCAGTACTCTTCCATTTGGAAGACAAGAAAGGTTGTTTGCACTAAAAAATTTTTTTGAATGCATTTTTCAGATGGAATTTACCAACCGATTTTTTTGAAATTTAAATTTTAAATTTCAAAAAATATGTAGAATCAGTAGAGCCAAAAATATTGATCAATTTCCTTCACACAAATAAATTCCGACACACCTTCCATTTAAACTCCATATAAATTTGGAGTTTACTTTTGATTTGCTCGCTCAACGTGATGGCCTGTAGACAATGGCATTACAACAAATTATGTACATATTTACATACACCAAAAAACTTTTATTTTCAATTTAGATTTTTAAAATATTAACAGTATTAGTTTTCAAAAAATGTCAACTTAAAAAATTGTTATTCTAATAGGATCCTAAAATAAACAAAAACTTATTTTATGAAAACTTAGTTTAACTCGAAAAGTTAACAAAAAGGAACAATGCTAAAGGAATATCTGAAAAAACTGTCAACCTTTACCAAAGATAGGACCCAATTAGTAAAATTTTACAGACACGAAATTTTCAAACATTTTTGTAAAAAATATCCATACTATTTTATTTTTTGTGTTTGAATTCAATATATTGGTTTTATATATAAGCAACTCTTTAATGAAAAGGACCACAGGGATAAAAATGATTTCTAAAATATGCGAAAAAGGAGAATTATTTGAAAAGATAATAATAAAATGAAAAATTTCTTTAAATCCCGCTATATAAAAACAAAAAAACAATTTTATACATTTTATTAACCAAAAAATGGGATTGAATCTAACCTTTTTTATTCCTTCCGTTAAGCTAAATCCTAATATATCGTTTAATATTGTATTCGATCCTTCATAGAAGGGAAGAATTTTCACAATTCTAATACAAAACGTAGAGCAAAAAAATTTGAGAAGAGACAGAATCGTTTACAAGCCACATAAATTTTATTGACTCTACTCTAAAATAATTCTGAAGCTCCGTGTATAGTCCTGAAACTCTTAATATTAAAAAACTATAAAAAATCCAACTGAACATATTTTTGATAATATAAAAAGTCAACGAACATTTACACGAAAAGAACCATCTACAAACATGTGAATAACAGATCGTAATACTCAAAGCGGAGCCAATAATTTATAGTACCCTACTTGAGTTTATGTTTAGCACTGTAAAAGAGAAAACATCGTGTAATTAACTGAAATGTCAAGGATAACTTTTTTGGTTCATTATATACGTTTTTTACGTTTTCCTGATATTTTCTTATTACCAATAGCATTTCTTATCACCGTTTCAATAACATTCTTTGCTATTTTATATATATACAATATTGTCTGCTTATAATTCCACTCATGTTATCGTTATGATCAAAAGTTATTAGCAAAAGTCAAACTAAGAATTCATTTCATTTTTTTACCTCACAATAAACAAGTGCGATACATATACCAATATACATAAATATAAAAGTCGCATTTTTACTAAAAGAAAGTAAAAGATGAAAAATATTTTTTAAGATCATAATCCCTCTGCCATAATTATAACCTCTCGATCATAACTTTATTTTCACAACACTAAGAAAAGTAATAGAATCCTTTTCTTTAACACTATAGAATTTTAAAAACAAATATGGTGTGACTAAAATCCTCAGGGATAATTACTAATAGTATATATTTACTTCTAATTATACACTGATACATTTATACATACATATATTATAACTGATTACAAAGTTAACGTTTGAGCATACGAAATTCTTTGAAATAAAACACTTGATATTTATTTGTTATTTATTTGCAAAAAGGTACACACCAAAAACCAAAAGGATAAAATTTGTAACTTAAAAAACTTTTAAAACTTCTCTTTATAAGTTGGTTTAAATTCTCAAAAAACTCAAAAAAAATCTGCAAAACATAGCTTAAGAAATGGATTTGGTTTCAATACCAACAAAATTTTTTAGAAATGCTTTTAGCAGCCTGTCGATCTGTGGGTCTGTCGGTCTATCAGCCTGTCGGTCTGTGTGTGCACGCGTTTATCTCAAGTTCGGCTGAACCGATTTTGATGAAATTTTATATGTAAGTTTATTTCGACTATGGCACGGATTTATCAACTTTTGGGATATGTCAGGCCTCGGGAACTACACTCTTTGGGGGCTTGTTTTACATTTTTGATCTTTCAGATCAAAACAGAAATATTCAGCAGATTTTCTTGAAATTTCATATATAAGCTTTATATATGAAAGCTCCTAACTTTTGGAAGAAATCAAGCGTCAGCAACTGGACGTTTACTACAGGCCAAATATACATTTTTGCGTATATAAATAGAAATAATCAATCTATTTCATTGAAATTTAATTTTAAATTCGAGGTATGAAAGCAATGAATCTATAAATTTTTTGGAAAAATCAGGACTCGGAAACAGATCTGGGGGCCGATTTTACATTTTTCACCATATCTACGGAACGAATTGATGAAATTTCTTGAAATTTGATATTTGAATTCTGGCTGTTACCAAAACTAACTGGCGAGCATTTCAGGGAATTTGGGTACCACAAAGCGAAAATCTACTAAGAGCCAAATTTACATTTTTCTAGGTATGTTAACTACAAGCTAGAAAGAAGTATTTAACAGGCATTTTTATAGTATTCTGTAACACTTTCACTTAACTATTCACAAAACACATTGCAAATTTTGCACCTAGTCCTTTTATTAATTTCTAAGTCTAATTTTTTTTCTTTTATTTTCTTTTCTTAGTAAACACCAATAAGTCAGAAAATAAATATGTTTAGTAACACAAAAATTCAAAAAGAACACAAAATGTTCAAATTTTTTGTTTGAATAAGACCCAATATAAATATGCACAAAACTGAATCAGGAAAAACGCGTTTAAGCAATTCAATAGCCTCACATAAATGTAGTAAAAATATAATATTTAATTGAATAATTTTAAATCACTTCCATTTATAATTTAAATGAATTCCAAATTAAAATTAATATTAAATATTCCTACAACGACCTTTATATGAAACGGATTTTTCTAAACGGTTAACTTCCTTCGTCCTATAAAATTTTTATATACACTTTATGCCAACAAAGTGTGTCTGGGCTCTTCTACAAGAACGATTCTTTTACAATATGTAATATAGTCTCAATAAAAAAAAGTAATGATTGTCATATTTTTTACAAAAGTAAAGTAGTTATTTAAAGTGCTTCAAAAAGAGAATTTTTACAATGCCTGTGGCAATTTTTGAATTTCTTCCCGATTTTTAATTAAAATTAGGTTTGCAATTGCTAGAAAAATTTTTTTCCGGTAAGTATCTGAAAAAATTTTAATTTTTGAATAGTAATTGTGAAAGCAACTTTATATTGAATATTCTGAAAAAAAAAATACACGTGTGCTTATACTACACACAATTTATAGGAAATTCCGATTTATATATTATATCAAATATAGGATGAAATTCCTATTCTAAGTTTATCTGTGCTTCTTATTTTACTTAAAAAAAAAATTTTAAATAAGAGTTTAAATCATTATTTAAACTCTTAATTTATATGAACATAATCATTTTATTTAAAATTAAACTCACTAATTTTAACTTATATATTAATGACTAGCTTCATATATAGAAGAATATGTATAGAATATCAGATCATTTCAAACATATGTAATTACAATGAGAGAAAAATTAATTTTGCAGTTAATTCATTTTTCGATATTAAAGTAAATTATATATGTGTAAGTGAATCATTATGTAGGTAATTTAAATATACATAATTAAGCCAAGTTAAATGGCATGTAAAGATTTAAAAGATTTTGAAAGCGTCTGCAATAATTTAAACACTAAGTCAGGAGTGGATAACCTTTAGTGAGAAAGATCTCAACATCACCCTCCCTCCAAATTTAACGTAGTTAAAATGATATAAAAAAATTACACTACGCTAATGAAATAAAATAACGCTAAATTTTATTATAAAAAATAAAAATTGCAAGTAAAAAAAAATATAAAGGCAAGAAAATATCATCTATCCGTGAGAATCACTTTAATTTAATGTGACGTGAGCTTTCGCGAACATCTAGGTCTGAAGCTAAATGCTGGCTTTAAACGGTCAACTTAAATAGAAGAACTTCCCCCGATTATATGGACTACAAAATATTTTCTAAATCTCCCAATGGCCTTGAAAGGTCGGGCATAAGAAGGTGTTAAGCTCGCTTTTACTTTATCAACCCGAACTAAAACATGCGCCGGGTAAAATTTCGGCCAGGTAAGCGTAGATTTTGCCCGTATACCATTTCTGCCGATTATAAAACAAAAGACAAAAAGAAACAAAAAGATTTTAACAACTAACAGGGCTTACTACTTCATGACACATTTATTTAAGTCCAAAATTATATCGAAATTGTGCAAAATATAAATATATGAAACACTATTACTTGTTTATAAATTAGGATATAGCAAGATTCATAAAATCTCAACGATTAAAATGGCTGATAGATCTCAATCGAATGGATGAATCAAAAGCTCTAAAAAGAATTTTCGAAGCAAGACCACTTTTTCAAAGAAACATTGGAAGACCAAAGTTGAGATGGAAAGACGGAGTAGAAGAAGACCTGCGTAAAATTAATATAACAAGTTGGTGGCAACTAACGACAGATCGAGAAGGGTGGAGGAGAATTGCGAATCATACTAAAGCTCATACCGGGCTGTAGGGCTACTAATGATGATCATTTCTGCCGGAGAACATCCCAAATCTTCTTTGATTGCGGTCTGAAACGCTGAAGCACAATTGGTAGTCCGGAGCTCCAATTAACCGTGTTACCGCGTGCGCGTAATGCGGATTTTAGTTGTCGGTAAAACTGTTTCACCATTTTGAAATGGAATTCGAACCTCAGTTCGGCTGAGGATGCTCAGGGGTCGTGTGATTCTTGTGGATAATGAATAAACTCGTAAGTTCCGCAAATAGCTTAGATTCGAATAGTGAAGTTTGATGGTTATACTAGACAGAGTGTTTAATCGCGGAATGTAATTACCAGTTTTTAATCTCGGCAAAAGTGCACGCAGCCAATCGCGAACAACAATCGGTAATTGTCAAGATGTAGGAGTTGCCAGCAAAAACCGGTAAATGACCCGGAAAGTGACTAGAACTACGGTAGTATTTTCGATTATCATTCTCTTGCATCTATAAAAATCTTTGTTTATTAAAAGATTATTGAAATCAAAACTGACTTACAGGGCAGTACCAATGAGAAGCACCATATGATATTCTTCGGGCCATTAATATTTGAAAATTCGAGGAAAACTCGTTTTTTAAGTTGAGCATTTGCATAACAGAACAGAGACACCATTTGTACATTTTTCTAAGTCGTTGAAGAAAAAAGTTTGGTATAAAATAGCATTTACGGGACTCTGTTTTTTGAATAACTCCCAAACCATAACAGGTAGCGTAATGACTTATACACCAAATAGAAGCTGAGTTGTCAAGGTTGCCAACTGTGCTGAAATTGGAGAAAGTTCCAATGTTACGCCACCTAGAAAATTAACGTTTTTGAAAAATGGAAAGTTCAAATTTTAAATTTTTCAGTTTTTAAAGTCATATGACTCCGAAATCTGAACAGATTTTAACTAATGTTGACATTCAAAAGAAAGGCCTTACCCTGAAGTTTTTAAAATCGTATTTATTAATGCCCCTGACTAATAAATACTGGCGGAGTTATACTTAAAATTTCAAAAAGTAGAAAAACCAGTCAAAATTGATTTTAAGTCCCCGTAAATCCGAACTTGCTGAGCTGTGAACATCATCTATATAAAAGTCTACTCATGAGGGTCTATATAGTGGCATATATCAGTGCACTTTGTTGTGAGCCACCCTGTATACAAATATGAAATCAAGACCACAAGTGACATAAACCGTTAAAAGGCATTTCGAGGTCCGAAAGGTATACGGTTATATTCGTACTTGCCGAAAAGAGTGGTTATAGCAGCTTTATGCAAGTGATGCCGAAGAGATTCATGGAAAAGTTTTGATTGTGAGTATTTTGATTACGGTAATTTAAACAGGACCGCCAATCGACCTTATTTTTCTTCTTAACCATATGGAGCGGTGATGAAACGGGTGACAAAACAGGTCGACATATCCCGATGATAATTACATATACTCAAATTCCGACTTAGCCTTTTTATGACTTACTGAATCTAGCCTACGCGAGGAGGAAAAAGGAAGTTGTCCCTTGTTTTCGTTGCGATGTATACAACCGAATGTTTAACAGGTGTATTGGGACTTCTAGAGCAATTCCGAAAAGTCGACACCGTATCAATCTTGCTAACATTTTTTCAGTCCTCGCAAACCATTTTTAAAATTAGATGAAATGCTGGTACCTCGACCCGAAACTTGAGAACTAGTAACCCGGACTCGGAGATCCGGATTGAGAAGCCTCGTAAATTTTATTTGCCAGAGAAGATCATCCATAGGTTTATCGCACACGGCCCGTAAGGTAATGTATATGTTGCGCGGAAAAACAATTCAATATTGTTTTTAAGAGATATTCTAATTTTTAATTCAAGAGATTTAAGTGCCTTCTTAAAAGTTTCATATGGCATGGAACTCGGTGGGCTGTTTAAAATATTGATCACAGAATATAATGTATCTGAGGTTAACGCAATAACAGTTACGTATTATTTGGTATCGTTATTTGGTACTGCCTGGAAGAACCGGGTCACCGGGTTCGCGGTCCAAAACGGAGGGCACCGAGTCTCCTTTGTTTTTTATGTCATTCACAGGACTGAAAGGATTTATGTCTCAATTTTTTTCCTCATCCAAAGTACTAGGAATCTTTCGGAAAATGTCGGAAGTCGAGGGTATTAAAGGATTTGCAGAACACGTCTACTTAATGGGCACCGTTTCAAATTTAAAGTTGAAAAGTTTAGTAGTATAAAAGGAAATATAGCTTAAGCAAATTCAAAAATCTCAAAATAATTTCATATAAGTACATGCATATATGTATGTACTTGAATTGTGAATTTAAAATTTTAAACAACAAAAGATAAACTTGTTTTAATGTAGTATTACTTCAATTTAAAAATCATTAATTTATTAGAATGCAATAAAAATGGTTCTACTGTATTCACCAAAAAAAATACATACATTATAATATCAATATGAAAAGTCGCAATGTGTTTAGCTTTAACACAGGGAATATGTGTATGTGTTTAAATATCTGCACGTCCACAATCTACATATTGCGTAACATATTGAGAAATTATAATTAAATATTTCTATGTAGTATGAACATGTGTTGTATATAATATTATATTTTAATGTTTTTTAGTTATATATATTTCTTTCTCCTTTTTCCACTCATTTTGGGACACAATGCTTCCCCATCTGACATTTTGTGCGCGAGTGACTTTATTTCTGGCCACGATTTGTGATTCTCTTAAATTTTTTTCTTTATTGACCTTCGTCACCTTTCGCTCGTCCTGAGGGTTCCATTCTAAGGACCTCTGCTGAATACATTAGATTTTTTAAAAACTGTATTATATAATAATTAAATTTATTATTATGTATGTATATGATGCTTATAATAGTAATTTATTATTATGTTTATGTGCGTTATTTATTTTTAAAATATTTATACATATCACAAAGGGAGAAAAATGAATTTTGAAGTTAATACATTATTCGAAATTAAAATAAATTATGTATGAGTAAGTGAATCATCATGTAGGTAATTTGAACATATATTAATAACGCATTAGAAAATTTGTCGTCATTTTTATAAAAAAACGAGAAAAAATAGAGTTGACCTTGTCAACTCTGTGATACCCGTACGAATTGGTTATCCTATGTGCGAATAAATAAGTCATAACTGACTATGGGACAGACTATGACTTTAAGTTGCCGTATTTCCATATTAATTTATGCAAAATCTCAGTACTGTGTTTTTCAAAATACTGTGTGTGCCAAACTACTTTTGAAGTTGTACGGCAGCTACCAGAAAGAGCTAAGATATTTTAACGAATTTTTTCAAGCACATCGGCCCTACTAATATATTTGCTTGTGTAAGATTTCAATACAATAGCTTTTATAGTTTCTGAGATATAGTCAAACAACTTTTGAAGTTAGGAGCCAAGTAATTTCAACGACTTTTATCAGACACATTGGCCCTATTAATATATTCGATTGTGTGAAATTTCAATACAATAGCTTTTATAGTTTCTGAGATATAGTCAAACAACTTTTGAAGTTGTATGGCAGGTACCAGAAGGAGCCAAGTAATTTCAACGACTTTTATCAAACATATTGGCCCTACTAATATAATTGTTTGTGCGAAATTTTAATACCACAGCTTTTATCGTTTCTGAGATATAGCCAAATAAATTTTGAAGTTGTATGGCAGCTACCCGAACCGGTACCCCGATCATGTCCAATTTAAATAGGGTTCTGGCACTTACCACAATAAATCATTTGTAAAAATTTAGTGAACTTAGCTCAATTAGTTTTTGAGTTATCGTTGGGACGGACGGACGGACGCACGGACGGACGGACGGACGCACGGACGGACGGACGGACGGACAGACAGACAAAGCTAAATCAACTCAGAATTCGACGCTGATCAAAAACATAAACTTGAGTCTATATCTAAGACCGTTATTTCTCAACGTTACAAACGGTAAGGCAAATTTAGTATTGCCAAGTTTCATGAATCTGATTTTATAATTTTTCCAATACTTAAAAATATTCAAGAAAATAATAGGGAAACTTGGCAGTCGTGTGTCCAATTTCAGGTCGGATAATATTCGTGAAGTTTTGAAGGAATAGCTTCCGAAACCTGCCATTCCGGAAGCTGCCGCACAACTCCAAAAGCTAATTTAAAATATTCGAAAAAATAATAAAGTTAGGTTTGTGAAACTTGGCAGCTGTTTGTTATAGGTCAGACATAACCGTGCAGTTTCTATAGAGTGGTTTATCAGGTTCGAACACTTGGTATACAACAATAAAAACTAATTCTAGATATTTCGATAATTTTAATTTTGATTTATACAAACTAGTATAGAAAATCTTTAAAGACAATCTTACACTCGAATTTAAGAGTTAATTATGTAAGATAAAAAAAAAACGCATTTTTTAATAAAATTTGGAAGAGCATGCAATTTCAGAAATATAAGGTGCCAAAAATACAAAATGGTAAACGTTTCCATGGACAGACGGACAGAATGAAACTAATTCCGGTTAAATATGAACCTGTCTGTTTATAATAGCAATTTTTTGTTACATCGGTATTTTGGGTGTATAAGTCCCCGATTTATTGAAGTGAAATACATACTTACCATTACATAAAGTAAATTAATATGTACGTATTTTTAACAAGGGAAATGGTTTTCGTCAAGTGTTATTTTTGTTTGAATTTGAAACTTTACTAAACGTTTAATTGTTCATCGACTATTTTGATAAGTATGCATATTCTTTATAAAAGATTTAAAATATTCAATCAGATCGGTTATAATTATTGACCAGTACGGTAAATTTTTTATCTTTTAATTTTGTTTTACCTTATGATTTCCCTTTTTATGTTTTCTTAATTTATTTATTTTAGTATTAAGAAGGATGCAACAAAAGGGTGAAAATTAAATAAAATTTAATTGAAAACTGTAAAAGAGATAATTAAAGAAAAACTTAATGCAGATATGTACTTAATTATCATAAAAATAT